CCTTTATTTTTATTTTTATTTATTTTTGATTACAGCTTGATTCCACACCGTATTTTTGGTACAAGTATGGAATTTTCAGCGTGGATATCGGTAGCCCAAAATTCGCAGGCCAACCATAGATATCAGGTGTGCGTCGGCGAGGGCTCGAACCCGGGACCATGTGCATGGTCGGCGAGAGTCCTAACCACTGTGCCACCGACGCGTTATGAGATAATTCCATCTATAAGTAGATTGTTTCTCACTGACAGCTTTTCCAGTGCGAAAACGTGAAATGGCATTCAAATTCACACAGACGTTGCCTGAGTATCCTTCTTGATAGTATACATATTGTGGTGTTATCAATACTCCCATATCTCTAACGCGATTTCCAAGAATGCAGTTTGTTCTCGAAAATACGCTAAACAATTTATTACTGTTACTGGTTATACGATTTCATCATAGACCGCTGGCAAACTTATGAGTACAGGACATCATCACGACTAACCTACCACCGGTGTTCAAACCCAACACCTTCCGGTTACAAGGCGAACACGTAGACCATTCAGCCACTGGGACCTGATCCATTGTTCCCTGAATTATTAATTTTGCTTATTGACGATATAGTTCAACCACTAGCCAGTATCGTCGGCGAGTATCTGTCCTCACACCCGACCTGCTCTACCCCACTAGTCACAAATTCCCACCAGTAGAACTCGGATGGCTACCTTCCTGAACAGGGCCGGTCACTAGTGAGCAGCAGACTGATTTTCGAATGTTGGTTTACAGGAATTTGATTTTATTCGTTACAGGATTTCATCATCATTGCCCAGATTAGAAAGAAGTAGCTGTTCAGTACTCCCAGATTTTCCAATGGTTCTCTAACCAATGTCAGTTCTTGATGAAATCCAGTAGCCAATCAAGTAAAATCCCTGCAAACAAAAACTTGAAAATGATTGTTACCATTATTATTATTATCATTATTATTATTAATTCTGAGTAATAAGGCATATGTGAATAGGAATCTTCGTCTCTCCCTTCGAACATATCTTGGACTGAATATGTCACCTTCGAATATGAACAATGTCGGAGGTATAAACTACATCAAGAAAGTAATATGACTGTTGGGAGTCGGTTGATTAATTGTCAGCGCTTGGGGGTTCGAAATAATGGTCACTTGGCTTTATGAGCTACTGGGAATATAAACACCCATTTGGCTCCGAGTATGTCCAAATGAAATTTCCCAAATAGGATGAAACACGCAGCCTTCATTCCAGCTCCAATCACTCACTGGCAAGTACATGACAGGATAGACAATTCCTGTACAAACAGCTATCAATGAGTACTACTGAAACGAGGCGAAAGGACAATAATGATAATAGTAAAACAGCTTACTACTGCTTGTGAGACAGTCATGATGTTTAATTGCACTACACTTTGACTGTCTCGCAAGTTGACTATGGAGGTTTGGGCATTTTAACAAGGATTAACAGTGGGCTGTAATATTTTGCAATTCGTGTTTTAATGGTAGGTCCTACATGTATTCTGTCTTCAGCGTATTTCTGCAGACATGTACAGCTTCAAACATTCGTGTTTACTCAACCTACGCTTATGTGAAGGTGGAAGAGGACAACAAAGAATTGATATAAGAATAAAACTTGTGATAGAGTATAATTCCATTATGGGTAATTTTTTTGTTTTGATAAAGTCTCACAGTGTTACACAGTTATGTTTACTGATGACGTTTCGAGCACCTTGATATGATTATGAGCAATAAATTGTGCTCAAAACGTCATCAGTAAACATTACTGTATAACACTGTGAGACTTTATCAAAACAAAAATTTACCCATAAGGGACAACAAAGAATATCGCAAAATCGGATGTGTCTTAAAGGTTAATGCAACACCATCACGTGGAATGACAGTTATTGACAACTGAAAGTAATATAAATCTTCCTTCTACCTGTATGCAATCTGATGTAGACGAAATTTACTGGTGATAGGTATGGCGTTCCTTCAGCTCACGGATCCTCATTTAAGAATACTAACTGCGGTCATCTTAACTACGTGTGAAGTGGCATAATAAGGTGAGCAACATTGAAGTTAGGCGTAGAGTTCTAGGTAAACAGGGGAAATCAATCGACGAAGTCGTGAAGCTACAAAGACTGAGATGGTTAGGACATGTGTTACGTATGCCAAGTCATCGCCTCCCTCGACGAGCTATGTTAGCGGATATAGGGTCAGGCTGGAAAAAAGCTAGCGGCGGTCAAACAAAAACTTGGCATCAGTCAATGAAATCCGCAACAGTTGGTCTAAGCCACGTAGAAAGGTGTAGACTTCCAGGCTGGGGTCCTCGGGACGGTAAAAATCTATGGTTGGAAACAATTGGTGACATGGCTCAAAATCGTTCTCAGTGGCGTAGATGCATCCACTCCCTGTGACTTATGATCCTCAATGAAACTGTTTTGTATTTCTTTAGTACTCCTTTGTCTCACACCTCTGCTCACTGTTTTTATTATGCTTTTCTTGTACTTTCTTCTCTTGCTTCGCGTGCTACACGGAATGTGGCGACTTGAACTTCCGCACATTTGTGCAAAGTTCTATGTCGAAAACAGACAGACAGACATCTTAACTACGTCTGGAACTCAATTCCTGTCGAGGAATATTTACACTCGCAACAGCTTAATCATTAGGATGCCTGGATTAGATGCCTCCTGAATGCACAACGTTTCCACAGTTTTTCAACAGACGAGGAATGCGAAATGACTGGATGTGAAGTGTTTATTAAAAGTATAAAAGGTTTCATAAGGAAAAGCAGGTACAGAATTAAAGAATAAGGGTGTACTTCAAAAAGCACTCACGAAATAAGTTTGAGTAAATGTAGTACGAGGAGTTTGAAAAATATTCAAGAAGCCATAACAGCAAGTAGTCATTAGTGTCATCTCAAAATGTATCTCGCGTTCGCTTACTTCACAAAGGTTAACTTATTATTACGTTGCAGTCATCTACAGTGATTTCTTATGATGCTGTCGCTCACAAGAGATGGAGATATGGTGACTGTGAATACCTTGGTTGCTCTGTGATCCCGCCTGCATCTATTTTACCCTATTGCAATTCATGAAATCATTACTATTATAACTCTTAAATCACATGGGGAGAGACTGTAAACTTGAAAATGTTTATCAACTGAAAATAACGTGACAGCATGCAATCGAACAAGTAAGCAACAACGTATAAAGAAGAAACTTCTGATCTCAATTAGCTTAAATACGTGACAGACATGTCACATAGTAAGTATTCAGCACTTTCAATAAATTGTAGACTACATCCACGTGATCTTTCGAAATTGAGTACAGTAATTATTATTATTCAGTGGATTTTGACTTACCTTCTATAGACATCGCAATTTAGAACATAAACAATTTACTGCTTGGTAATAGCATGTAGCAATGAAACAAATACATCCACGATGTCTCATACACATTTACAATTTTTATGTTTCTGCTTTTAGTACAGATGACAATACTATTTCAGAATTTGCTTAGATGAGTGTGGTGATTGACAATTTCTATCTCTGTATTGTTTAAATACTTAGTGTTGCTTGTTAATATATTTCTTATATGAATTGAATAATAATTCCGCCAAATACAAATTCCTAATTTCATCCCTCTCTGTGTTTTGGTTGAATTCTTGTAATTCTGTCATCGCGAAATACTAATACTACTTTTACAAATAATTACAACAATGAGATTATGACTTATTGAGTTATTCGTGCTCCTTTAGTTCCATAGTTACGTCTTCTCTATAGCAAACTCGAAATACTATTCCGGATCCAGAATTTCCTGTAGTCACTTGTGGGAACTTTCAACTCTGTCTTTCGTATGATTAACTAGGATTTTTGTTGACCCAAAGCAAGAAGCTGGCCACATATGCTTCCTTGGCATTAAATAATGAAGTAAGTACCTATAGACTTTAAAACCTACTGAATATAAGCTGCTGTAATTGTAAGTGAGTGTGAATAAATTGCAAGAATGTCTTGTGTACGACTGGAACGCATACGTCATTCATATTTATCATCTTGTAAAACAATCTATGTATTCCTTATCTGAAAGTTAGACTTCAAATTCATCAAAAGTTATCATCTCGCCTGCCTGCTAAATGCTCAGCAAACAGAAAATGAATGCAGCCAAACACGACAAGAATGATGTAGTCCTAGTAGTATCCCTGATAAATGTCTTACACTGTCATCATACATATACTTTATCTACAACACCTGCCGTCTAGCATACGTTAACACACAACTGGTTCCCTATCAAAGCTACTTAAAAGAATTGGTAAATCAGATGACATCATACATAATAAGTTCGCTGTAATCATCCTGTTTCACCAGTATTCTACATGAAAGCCCTGATAATTCCTATTATTGAGTGCTAGTACATCATTTCACTCAGTTCTTTTAAGCTTCCTACCTCTAATGCATAAGAAGAACATTGATAACTGAGCACTGATAACTGTGAGCATGAGATGTTAAATTTTTATCACTTTTCAACTTAGCGCCGAATCGTCTAGCACAGTGTTTGGTTAATTGTTCTATCAATAAAACAAATGACATCGTGAGACATTGTAAATAGAGAAAGCAGCAGAGGTTGGTTATTAACAGTATCTTTAGCAGTTACCAATCTCATGAGAAGTAACAATGGTAAGAAAATACATAAAAATGTTTAAAAAATTAACTTCTATATCACGCCATGATATTAGGAAACATAGTTGAATAGAGCTCCTAAAAATATTATCCATTAGCAGTCAGGCTTTCGAACACACACTCATGTGTGTCATTTATAGTCTTATTTTTCAAATAAGCAGACTAGAAAATTGTATAAAAAATGAAATGCAAAATTATACTTCCATGCGCCTCTTATGATTGGCTGATTACTTGTGACAACGTTATTGGTTAATAAAATCCCGCAGAAGAATTAGGATGAATTATCCGATCAACCAATGATATTTTAAGGATGAGTCTGTGAACGCAATGTCATGCGACGTTTTACACATTAAATCATGTCACTCAAATATTAAAAAAGAATATGGTGGGGGTGGGTCACTTCGAGAACACTATAAATATAGGATGGTACTTAGATGTGGTCAGGTCTCTGAACTTGCCTTTGACGCGATTGTATTTCAAATCAACTACAGCTGATTACTGCCTGTGTATTACTTTGCTCTATATTCTACTATTCATCGGAATTTTTTGGAAAATTTAAATGTCTGAACTTCAAAATCAGTTTTCTAAAGTTAGAAGAGGCTGCAAAAAGCGTATTCAACTCAATGCAAACGAAAACGTTAGCGCAGACAAATGGATGTTTAATTTCAGCGAATGGAACTGTCAGGATATACGCAGACCACTTGGGGAATTATCGAATACTTGTACAAAAACATTGACACAGACTCCAAATGTATCTGATAGTTCAACTGAGAAAAAACCTAGAGATCATGATAGTACAGATCAGAATAATATAACCCGACGTAATGAAAGAGAAAGAAATCGTGTTAAGCTGTTAAACATGGGATTCGATCGTCTGCGAGCTGTTGTTCCATGTCGTTCAGGTGAACAACTAAGCAAAATTTCTACTCTGAAGAAAGCAATCTGGTATATTGAGCATTTAGACAAAGTATTACACGGGCAGGAAAATTCATGTTCGGATTTAGCGGATCAATCAACATTATCACCGATGCCACAATCACCTACATCCAACAAATCAATAATAAATGTGAAGGGTCAAGCTAAATCAATTACACCTAAATCAGCTGGGTTATTTGGAATCAATCACCGTGAGGCAAGATCAGGGACCTCCTGGTCGTCTTTCGAGAAGGATATATCACCTACTAAGAATACATCCATTCAAGAAAGAAGATCAGTCAACCAACCATATATGTCACCCGTATTTCCAACCTATTGGGACTATACTAGCAGCAATGGCATCCCTCCTACCAGAGAAATGTTTTCGACACCAAAACTTGCTTCAACTCCATCCATCACGAAACATGTCAGACACACTGATGGAATAACAAATAGCTTTCCATCACCTTCAGATTTCTCAGTCTCAGAATCCCGCAGTGATTCTGGTTATAATAGTCCTATGTTTGGGAGCAGACTACCATCAGAGGTGAATTTTTTCCCAGTATCAAAAAGGTACCTGTCGTACTTTAGCACACCAACCACGACTGCAGTTGCCAATTTATTAAATCCCGTCTATGCTTCACCTGTCTCAACTAGCGATCGGATGATTTTATCTGAATACAATTCGTCCCATAATTTCCCTCGTACTCCATGGTCGCTGAGTGATAACTGTCCTCAGAAGCCAAGTTGAACTTGAAAATCTATAAGTATACGGTACACAAATACATGGTGACTTTTTCGTCATACTATAAGTAAGTGAAATTTCATATTTTTCTGCATAATAATGTTTAACTGATTAACTACTTACATTTTAATGATATGTAAAAGCCAAATAAGTTCGTGTGGAAGTTAGTTTCCCTTTCTATGTGTTAATTTACCTTCCTAATTAAATTAGTCAACCAGGGTCTGTTTATCGTAAGAATTCCTAAGTTAGATCACTTCACTGCTTTAATTCCCATATTAATAGAATTCTGAAAATAAATGGAACCAATTTGTCTACATGCTATCACTCTTGTATTTGATCAATGATTTGTGAGGTGGTATACTGTTGCTATAGCAATCATATGGTTAGGACCTGTCCACTAAATACTGTGGATTAGTATGATCTAACAGGTGTGAATACCATCCGCTTACTTCTGTGAGCATTTGGTTTTAAGTAGTAGGTGGCTGATTTATGGGGGAAAAATAGACAATTGAGCAAAATTCAAGAAGTTTTACTTCGCCTACAGAAGCTTTCCCAAGTTGACAATTTTCTGTTTCGTCTATATTTTTTTCATCTTTTTCTTCTATAATTATTTTCAGGTATTAAGGTTAACCTGACAACCTTCTGGTGCATGTATCTGGAAATGATTGAGAAAACATGATGTGTATTGGGTACGTATTTTTCTCATTGGAATAACCGTCCAAACCACGAATAAACAGGGAATTTAAATAGGACTTAGGAATTACACCAAAATGAAGCACAGAGAATGGCACAATCCATCACAAACACAACGAAAATAGCCAAAGGAAAGTTTGATGCAGTCGTTAGTCAATGACGTACTTTTCCTTAATATTAATTAGACATATCTATGTGATTTTAATGTCATACATAACCATAATCATCTCTGCTTAACAGAAGCTTATTGTTTTCTTGTTGTAAAACTGCTTATATCCCCTGTTTTACAATTTATAAAATCATTTAAAGGCCTGTTCGCAAGTTGTTGTTTTTTCAGATGTAGCCTGCATTAAGTATATGTCCAACATTTTTTCATCTTATTTTTCTATCGTTTATCAAAATACTTCTTAATAGCTTTCATTTTCTGTCAATAAATGCGCATAAAAGAATAAAAATACTTGAATAATGAAAAGTGTTACTTCTCTTCGACGATAATTTGATGAAGAATGAATCCAAGATATAAGTAATTCCACAGCCTTATGCGGAGAGTTATTCGTCTACTGTCTCAAGACGTCATCGCAAGAATCTACAATGAACACTCGGAATAATATTCCAGAGGATATCTTGTCTGGGATCTAGAATGATTTCGGGAAATAACTAAATATTTGTGGATGACACATTTGCTATTTGAGGGTATTACGAGACTTAGTAAAGCATTGTAAGTGAAGAGAAGGCCAAATGAGTGGTTTCTCTCTGATGATCTTCTCAAGGAATGTCGAATTCTACTATTCGCGTGATTACGTACTATGTTTTCGAAGTGATATAAATAGAAGACTTAATGTTAGCGCGGCACGTGCCACTGACAAGAATTCGTAAGTGTTATATTGATAACAGTTACTGCGAGAATGTTGAAAGTGGAGGGATTAAGCTACGAAAAAGACGAAAATAACATCATCGTGAAATAATATAGAAGGCGTGAAATGAAAACAAAAGAAGCTGAACACTAATAGCTTTTACAAAGTGAATAAGTCTCAGTGTAAGTTTTCTATAGTTTGCCAACGTGAGGATACAATGACGTCTCGTTTAAGTATGAAATTTAATCAGATTGTGTTCAATCCTTTTGCTTCCTAAATGGGGATTCTCTCTGTATTATAACTTTCGGAGCGACAGTTTGCGTTAAAGGTGGTCAATGAGTATGTGAAGTACAGTGAAGCGACAATTTCTTAGGACTTTATTGTCGAGGGCATTGAAACAAAGCTGTATCACAAGTTCTATTGTTTACTTGTGTTTACTTCACAGCAGAGTTCGACCGAATGGCGAAACATTCAAGCGCCACACACTGAATCAGATTGAGTAAACTTAAGTTATGTATGACAGAGGCTCAATCCTTTTGCTTTGTAAATCACAGTTTTGATATTCTAAATAACTACCGCATTTTCACTCAGCCGTTTATGCATGTGAGTAAACTGTTTATGATAGTACTAATTACGCTTGAATATTAGGAGGGACGTTCTCTGTAGGATATCCAAACTATTCAAATATATGCTCTTGGAGCGTATACTTACCATAATTTATTTCATACTCAGTGGAAAGGCATGTAAAGTTAGTCTGAACCAAGTGTATGAACTAATTAAAAGGACATATTTGTATTTGACTAATCGTCGTTTACAGTCTAGGTGAATCAGTTATTAAAAGAGGCATCAAAGAAATTTTTGGTATGGCTGTTTCACCAGTAGTTCGCCCACACTAAAGTGTACAATTGTAAGTATATGATTGCTAAGAAAACTTACACCGGGAGGAAAGTTAAACAGCGGGTGTGAGCCATAATAGTAATAATAATGTAAATCGAGACAAAATATTTGTGACAACAAGAGTTAATTTTGAATTCAAAGTAGAATATCTGATTGAAAACTATCCCTGTCACCTATGCAAATAAGATGCATGTCAACTAAGAGTACCAAACTAGGATGAAACAAGTACTCAGTATCGCTTGATGTCTAGAGGCTGCCACTTGTGTCTGGTATGTTCTTGTGAGAAAATCAGTTCATATTACGAATTGTGAGAAAACTTTTAGAATATGAATGGTCTTTAGTAGTCCATACTATTTAATTCACTTAATACCATGAATAGTAATTCAATAAGGCAAGAACGTGGATACTACAGATTGATATGAGTAAATGCAAGGCAATTACGTCAACCAGCAGTACCTGTTTATTTTTATTTTTTCATTAAAAAATCCAACATGTTTCGTCCTTCCATGTCATTGTATCTCTCTAATCACCTTATAATGAAAATGACAATGCGAAAGCAGTGAGTATCACATTATTCCTCCACATAGCTGCCATCAGAGCGAAATAATTTTCTAACAGAGATAGAACAAACATTGGTGCAACATAGTAAAATGCTTCTAACTGACCATCCCTATGTCGCGTTTCTCTATGACCTTCTTATAATAATAATAATCCCTGGTGGATGAGTGATTCATGATAATGAACAAAATCTATGTTAAAATTGTATCATAACTGGTCTTACTAAACATAACAGGTTGTATGCATTTCGGGGGAATCGAGGAAATATAATGGATTCATATATATTATTCTGCACCGACGTTTGGTTTATGCCTGTTCAGATTTATAAAGGGGGAAGTGTTATCTGAAGAAATAATTTTCTATAGACTGAACAATGAACTCAACGGTAGACCTTATGTAGTACCCCTATACCAATTGTAAACATGTTTTTTAATCTAATTTGTATACTTGTATTATATGTGTATACAGACCGATTTTATATGTACTTCGCAAACATTTGTCAATTTACTGTTGAACATTACCTTGACACAATTTCGAATTTGACTACTGCTACAATACACGATCGTACTCTTCGCAAGTGCCTTTTGATTTACGTTGTGAGCGTCGAGTAGCCACAACGTCTGCGCACATGAATAAGAACGAAGAAATACTAGAATATATGTGTACGGCAGTTTAGTCAGACAACGCACGCAACACTTATTGTCTAGAAATCACTCCACCGAGAACACACCACATGTTTCTGGGACAGGAAATGAAATTTCCGAAAACTGAGTGATATGAAATATGAGTATTGTTAAAGCTCAATGAAGCTCAATACACAAAGTCTTTGTATACATTCGGCTTAAACGAATCATTAGCCTTAATAATCTCACTGGATAGTGTATACTGAATGTAACTGTGAATATTACAAGTAATAATGCAAAGAATGAACTGTACAACAGATGTTATTTTTATGAAATGAGTTGTGGTTTTTTTTTTCCTGAGAAACATTTTTAAAGTATAATTTAAATCACATAAAAGCGCAGATAAAAGAAAAATGGCTATTGATACATTTTCGATATGTTCCTAATAATACATTCATTTTCTAGAATGATAACTGTAACACGAGTAGAAGCTATCTAATTATTTCTTGAACATTAAATTTTGTGAATAATTAATAGAATGTTGGTTGAAATTTTGTAGAGCAAAATAGTATGAATTACTATAACATATGATTTTTGATGCGACACAAGGTAGAATTGATTGGTTTAACTGAATACTACAAACAATAAGCCTACTCAAACCTTTTCATCATTTCAGGAATAATTTACTCTGCTCCCCCCTCCCGCTCCCCTGTTCTTTGCTTATTTCTTATAAATTCATTTTCTTCCTAATTTAATTTCATTAGTTTTGGTAAATCAAATCCATCTGTTCAAACTTTCGCTTAACTTATTGGAAAGACTTTATAGTAATCGAACTATTTAACGTTTACCACGTGGTTGTATATATATATATATATATATATGGACAGAAGGGAACTGAAATGAACACATAAATGTAGTGATAGTATATCGAATTTACACAAAAATCTAACACATGCACGCATGAACGCACTCACATACACACATGCATCATAAATAAAAAGAAGACAATAAATACAAAAATCAATATAGAATCATGGTAATGAGTACGAAGGCGGAGAAGGAAAGAACTAAGTAGAGGAATAATATTTACCTGAATAGTTTGTACAGCAAAACACACATACACACACAATCTATATCTGTCATTTTCATGTCACCCTCTAATAAATTAACATACATAAATATGACTAAGGATAGGATCAGTGAAAATAAAAACAAAGAAAATAAAAATAAGGATGAGAACAAATTAAATTATGAAACAGATTGTGAGGATTGAATGTATAGGAAATATGTGATGAATAAGTGAGGGGTGTGAGGAGAGAGTGCCTGATAAAAATGTTGATTAAAACTTTTTCTATTGTCCTTTTCTTCCACACGTTTGAATGGATTTGTTGTTTGTCTTCACCCTGTAAAACCAGTTTCTCCCTGTCGCATTATTCTCCTGGGTGCACTGCACTTTCCTTTGTTCACTCGCTCTTATTTGCACACAATAGGGTCACTACTTTACACTAGCAGTAACAATAATAATGGCAGTAATAATACTATTAATATTATTATTAATAAACATTCTCAAATAGGAACTCTCCAGGGTGATAACAATCATACTTAATTGCAGAATTTATTTATTTCACGTGCACAAATAGAATTTTCTTTTTGCAGTAAATAAGGAGGATGATTGGGTATGATAGTACGGTGTGAGACGGTCGAAAATGCCGGAATATGTTTCGGGCTTGTCACACAAATCCACAATCTATGGTAAGCTATTTCAATGACCGCCTACATATAAATCACTTAGTCATCCAAAAGTGGTCTAAGTCAAAAATATACCACTAGGTGAATTTTTCTGAAAATAAATAAATGTTTGGGAAATACGAAATCAAACTGACTACTATGCAAATCTGGTGTTTCGTGAACTGATATGGTTATCGAAATTCTTATGATCAAGAGTTGATATAATGAGCTTTATCAATTGACCTTTTCCAAATAATGCCTGATAAGTGGTACAAAGTGGACATTCAGTCTCTCGATTATTTTTTTTAATTTATTTTTTTATTTTGATTACAGCTTGATGCCACACCGTATTTTCAGTACAGGTATGGAATTTTCAGCATGTGATATCAGTAGCCCAAATTTTGCAGGCCGACCATAGATATCAGGTGTGCGTCGGCAGGGGATAGAACCTCGGACCATATGCATGGTCGGAGAGAGTCCTAATCACTGTGCCACCGACTGCCACACTTACACACATACACGTACAGGCATACAGTTTCTCCTGGAAACAGAAAGTCGAATCAATGAAAGAAAATAGTAATAATTAATGTTATCATTTCAAATATATATATATATATATATATATATATATATATATATATATATATATATAGAGAGAGAGAGAGAGAGAGAGAGAGAGAGAGAAAATTCCATACCTGTGCTGAAAATACGGTATATATATATATATATATGATGTATTTTTAAAACTTCATGCAATTCTTCCCCTAAATAAACTCGAACAAAGCAAAAACAAT